CATTACAGTTTCTGCCTCTTCTCATCCTGTGACTAACATATAAGCCTTCTCAAAGGGCTTCCAAGAGATTATTAACGCAGGCATGTCCCACATGGCTCGGTGGGACATTAGCCAGTCCATGCAGCTAGGATGATTGGTAATCTGAGTAATGGAGTCTTTTAAAACACAGAGGAAAATAGATGCCAGTTTTGTGCAGATAACATTGAATTTCTCTTCCAAAGAATGGGCTTTACTGGTTATCTTCAAGTTTAGAAGATAGAAACAAAGATCCTGGATGAGAGGGAAAACCGTCACAACCGATTACGTGCTGCCCTTGTCTTTGTCAATGGGGTGACAGCCTTTGCTCATTGCATTGAAAAAAAAAGCAACATAGCACAGGTGCCAGCCTGATCAAATCACCCCAGTTGGGTGGCCCATGTTTTGACTGGAATCAAGAGATGCATTCAAGTGCCTCTGCTTTGTGCATGCTCTTCGCTGATGTCCTTCAGTTTGCTTTGTGTCACTTTGCAGTTGCTCATTCTGTAAATGAGAATCCCAGTAAAGCTAAAATGCAAATAAAATTGAACTTAGAAGCATATGCTGCAGGCACCCACTAACCAGGCTGGAAATGGGGCATTTGGCTTGCAGTACTTAACCCTGGGGAGATACAGTCTCCATTGCAGCCTAGAAAAATGAATGCTGGGGTACTCAGCACTAGGTAGCTCAGTGGTGGTGGTGTGTGTTTTGTGCATGGTGTGTTGTTGGGAGGCTGGTGGTGGTTGATTGTTTGTTTTAAGGCTTTAACATACTCCTTTGCTGGCTTCTGAGAGAATTCAGAGCATGATTCTGGACTTCTGCTTTTTTTCTGCCATGTCATTTTCTATTGGCATAGCACAGTCCCCACCTGGCATAACCTTGCACTTCGTGCTGAGAATCTGAATGCTGAACTTGCAAAAGACAGTATAGTTTTAGGAATATTTTTCATTGTGACACTTTTGTTTTCTATTTGTCTGGCTGTAGAGAGGAAAAAAGGTAGCACCTGTCAGTCCTGTCTCTCCCTTTTTTTATTCTGAAATGATACGTAATAAATAAAAGTCATCTTCATAAATAGCACGGATACAGTAGCATACTTCCCAAAGAAAGAGAAAATATTTCAAGACAAAACATGCCTCTTCTTTTAAATAGGTAAATCCATCGTGTATGTCTTCTCTGTGACATTTCAAAGCCATTTTGAAGGTGCAAAATCTCTTCCAGGAAATTTTTTCAAGGCCATTTCACATTTAATCTACTAGCATATATGATAAACCCGTTATATATGTGTCTGAGTGAACCATGTTATGGCCAGAACACACAAGTTAGAAATGACAAGGCAGTATGAAAAGCTACTGAATAGCTTTTTCTCCCACCTTCATTGATCGTGGAGGACTGTCTGAGTCAGACACTAGGCTAAGATACCTCTTACTTCTGTCTCAGACTTCATTAAGTAAATAGAGAAAATCACATTAGCCTAGGTTATCCCATACTTACTACAGTAACCAAGCCCTTATAATGAATTACAAACATGACTACTCAAATAATGAATTAAACGAATTAGGGAGCAAAGCACGTTTCCATCTGAAGCAGAAGGATGTAAGTAAATAAAAACAGTGGGTTAATAATAACAGTGGGTTAACACAGCTGTAACAGGGTTATAAGTATTTCTTAGCTCACATATTGCAACAGTGTTGGTGTGATTAACACGTGCATTTAAAATCCTTGCATTTCTATATTTGAAAGAAAACAGATTCAGCATAAGTATGTCTGAAACACATATAGCTGAAATCAACAGGCAGTATACAACAACAGCTTAAATCTACTTTGCTAAACCCTGTTTTCTGCCTAAATTAATGCTATCCTCCTTGTGAGAGCCTCGCATATTTTTTTGGGAGGGTGTTTTGCCTGATGAAGTGAGGTGCTTGAAGCTTTCCTGAGGTGAGGTGTTATCTGCAGCATTTGCCTGTATTTATCCAAGAGAGACCCTTACTTCTCTCGTGGGGCTCAACAAACCTCATTTCCACCCACCCAAGCTCGGAGTTGGGAGCTTTCCTGGATGTTTCCCTTGGGGGGCTGCAGCAGCAGGGAGCAGCCAGTGGCTCAGTGGAAACCAAAAGCCAGTGTCTCCTCCTTGCACCTTATTCCAAAAGCAGCAGAACCTGAGGTTCGGGGCTGCGCTTCAGTGCTTACACCATGCCACAGAGGCAAGCACTGCAGTAAAAAAAAGTGGTGCAGTGCACCTGGGGATCGGGTTCAAGATCTTTAATAATTTACATCTTCCTTCCGCCAGCGTAGGTATCCAATGCAGCGAGTGGCGCTAGCAGCTGGACCACTTCATGGCAGTGCCCAAGCTGTCCCAAAATCTCAGTCCTCTCCATGTAGAGTTTTGTTGCTGTGAAAATTGTGGTGTCACAAATGAAATACTAAGGAATGCAGAATAAGCAGAAGACGGAGTTGAACTGTTAAGGGAGAAAAGATTTTCATTTGCAGGTTACTGGTAGTAATTCTGAAAAGACCAATTAGACTTTCAGACCTTCCCCCTCCAGTGCACACTCAGGTGTGTTTTGAACAGAATGTTTTCAGAATTTTCAGTGACAGTTCAGCTGTTCCTTAGAGGGTACTGTGAAATACAGTGATGATTTGTAGAAGTAGTACTAATCATTATAACTGCAAATCTTAAGATGTTTCCTTGTCCATGCATTAATTTTTTCATCCCTAGATTTGGTAAAACAATGACTGCAGCAGTGAGGAAGAGGCCACCTTGTACAAAGCCTGCCAGTACCCTAGTCTGTTGAACAAGCCCCACTCTAAGTGGTCACTTACAAAAAGTGGTTCTAGATATGTTCCAAACTGGCCTGTCATATAGTCAGGAGCAAAACCAAGCTCAAAAAGAAGGCATCTGTACTGACAACCAACACTTAAAACAATAGGAAAATGTTTACTCTAATGGGTGGATGCCTTTGTTTTATGCAGAGCGGGGGAAAAATTGCTAGGCAGTGCTAATGATTATGGAAGATTAATTTTTGTAGCTTTGGGGGTTGATTTCCATGACGTCAGGGTCTGAGGGTGACAGAGCCCTGGAACAGGCTGCCCAGGGAGGTTGTGGAGTCTCCTTCTCTGGAGATCTTCCAAACCTGCTTGGATGCAGCTCTGTGCCACATGCTCTGAGTGACCCTGTGTGTGCAGGAGGTTGAACCAGATGATTTCTAGAGACCCCTTCCAACCTGAAGTATTCTGTGATTCTATGATCTTGTTGTACTGGTCTCAATCTTCCGTGGGCATCTGCACCAGCACTTGCAAATTTTGGCTCACAGCGACTGTGCACTGTATGTTGTGATGTGCCAGAGTCTGTGCCTGTGTTTGCAGCTAATCGGTGCACTGCGACAACGCCAGGTAACATACTTGACTAATTGGCACTTAATCAAGTGTATTTGAATTGCATGTGTCAAATATTGGCAGCAAACTGTTCATGACAAATTCATAAAACGCATTTTGAATTAGTTTTAAAATGCACTTCAGTCAATGCTGATATATTTACAGACCTGCAAAGAGGGGTGAAGTAACTTCCATGAATATGGATTTGGCGGCTGTAGATAATGCACTGTATACTCAATGAAAACGGCAAGAAAGAGTTTCATCTGCATCTTGTGTCAGGATGATCTAGTAATTAGTATAAGCTTGGCTATTTTTATTAGGCTGGTAGTTTTAATTAGCAACCAGAGCATGCAGTATTGTGGATATGGCCTACATTTTACTACTGCATTATAACTTTCAGCAGTGGACCCAGTTGTTGAACTACTTAGATATCGGATTACACAGTGGAATTGTCCTCCTAAAATACATTGAGGATTGCCAGAACTGTGCATGCCACTGGGATATAGCTCGTACTCGTTATCATCATGACTACCTGACCACAAAATATCTGCAAATACTTGAGGAATTAGGTATAAAATGTACTCTGTTGTTTCAGGTCAGCCATGTATATATTTGTAAACACTAAGGGACCGAGATTAGCTATGTAATTAGGATACAGGTTTTGTTTCATATGCATATGAACATCCATGTGAGATATACTTTTCAGAATGGAGATAATACTTGTAATACTTGCAGAATATTGAAGGTATTTCAATACTCATGTTGAAGAACCACCTTTGCAATAATTATTACTGACTAATCAATCATTCTGAAAAAAAAATAATATTACTGTGAAAAAACATAGTGTGAATCACTTTTTTTGATTCTTGTCAGTCAGAGTGATTCTAACTTTCTAGGATGATTAGTTTGCGGAGATATTACTTTTCTGGCACTTTCAGCAGAGAAAACATCTCACAGTAATGTGGAGAGTTGTATCAAGGTGTAGTAATCTCTCTGAGCATCAGATTTGCTCAGAGAGAAGCACCTTTAGGAAGAGAGCCCCTGCAACCCTTATGAACTGTATTTCAAGAAGTGGATGTTCAGTGGATGTGTTTAGGATCACACAGTCAATCTTACTGTCAGACTTCTTTTCTATCCCATTCCCCAGCTTGTTTTCCTGACTGCTGTGTGCAACTCCATGAGGACAAAGTGCTTTCTTCAACTCTGCTCATCTCAGTGGATCGTGTGGAATCATTTCGGTGTAGCTCCTTCCAAAGTTGCCAATAGCACCCTGTTTGCTGAGGCTGGAATCTGTCACTGGAAGTGGAGTGTAAAAATCTGCTGTGCTTACCCTGTAAATAAATACAATGGAGGTAGTTTGCTGTTCTACATAGGCACAGTTAAGAATAAAAAAATTTATATATCTTCCCTCAGCCTTTCAACCCTTCAAGTAAAAAGGTGATGTAATCCAAGTAGAAAAACTAGACAGGCTGTATCCTTAATTTATACATATATGAGGATTGTTTCATCACAAGTCTCCCACGGAAACACATCTGGTTATTCTCACTCATAGCTACGCCCTTTGGATTTGAAGATTTTTTTTAATTTAATTCAAATTTTTTTTGTACCCACAGGATATCCAGCGAACACTCACCAAAGCTTCAGATTCGGAGCCACAGCTACTTGCGGGCGGTGAGTGAAGTCTCCATCAACAGGAGTCTGGACAGCCTGGACCCCGCCGGACTGCTGACGTCCCCCAAATTTCGCTCCCGGAATGAGAGCTACATGAGGGCCATGAGCACCATTAGTCAGGTGGGTGACATGAGCACAGCCAGGCCAGAGGTATGTATGACATGCAGAAGCAGCAGCTTGTTTTCTGCTTAGAATGGAATCAAGCCATTACATACATCATATTTCCAACAGAATTGTTTTCACACAACTTCACGAATGTGTGAGATTTGATAATGCCATGAGCTGCCCTTTTCAAATGGAGGAGTGGCACAACATGCAACATCTAAAGCAGCAGTCTGATTTTTTTCAAGGACAGATGCTTCAGCAATATCTGTAAGTAGGGTTCTTTAAGGTTTTGTGATTAGTGTCTGAAGTCGGTAGGTGCCTATGAAGCAATGAAGATTTGTTTTAATTTCATAAGCAGAGCGTGAAAATGAAGAAGGAAAATGAATAAAGTCTGTGGTATTTTGTATTTCATGTTTTTATTAGTATTTTATGAAAAATTTTAAAGATCTCTTTTTCCTATTGTATATTCTTAACTCTGTGCTCCTCTGAACTTTTCACTTATGTAGTATAAATATTACAATATATGCATTAAGTGCAAAAGTCTGTATTGTTTACTGAACACTTTAAAACTTCAATAGAAGCCAGCTTTGATGCATTCAGGTTAAGAATTTTAGCATCACAAAATAACCTATCTTTATCCTTGCACAAAACAGTTTTTTTAGGATCAAGCTGATCAGGGACACATCTGAATGGGGAGGCAGATATACAACCACATATGCAAAGTGTCACCACTCTAGGTGGACAAATAATGGCAGAGGTGAAGCTTTGCCAATAGCTCATCTGCTAAGTCCTGCAGCTGCAGTTCTTAGGTCTGTCTAGCTTCCTGGGATGATTTTTTGGCTTGTTTGTGTAAGTGGATCATTCAGATAAATCATTTGGAGAAACAAAAGTCATTCCATTGGCCCAGATGCATAGCAGGAAAGATTTGTGGTGCAGAATATTAGCCCTTTTAAGTCCTTGGGTTGCCAAAGGAGAATGAGGCATTACTGGTGCCAGGATTTCAGCTATAGCCCAAAGTATATCCAAATATATTACAGACTGGAGCGTTTTGCATAGGATATGGTCTGTTGCTATAGAAAGTAGTTTATGGTCTATCTGAATGGAAACAGCACTAAAATGCAAGTCTCAGGTGCAACTGTATGAACTTTAGGTCATGTTACTTTGTTTACTAGGCATCTATCACCTAGGCCAAGCTATCTGACAAAGACTGACCACTATTTGCCATTGTGATAAATGTTGTTTTTATCATTTTTTGTTTATTTGTGTGTTTTTTTACACAAATGAGAACTGAATGAGATATTTATTTGGAGATAGGGCTGTCCTCTGCCACTGCAGGATTGCTTCTTATTGATACACCATCCACTGCTTCTCCATGCTGCTTGAGCACTGTCTGCCTTTCTACACTTTCCTTTTCAGATAGGCATCCAGCATAGTGTTTTTCTTACTGAAATCCAACCTGGAATAGATATTTTAATGTCTTCTTCTCCCAAGATAGCAGATTTTATCTCCTCCTAGTACTTCAGTCTTTTGCATAACAGAAAAGATAACAAAGCTCTCCTACTTCTGCGTGCACATCTCCCACTCTGCTAACTATTGTGCTTTAATGCCAAGCTCAGGGCTCAAGTCTGAGTTCAGGACCATGGGCATGCATTGCCAGGTAAGCAGAGACAGGTGGCTTCCAAGTTTGCAAGCAAAGTCAGACGCTCTTGAATGGTCTTTAACTTTGGTGGCTGTGAGCCTTTGTCACCACCTAGTGTCTGCTCATCAAAGCATCTAAGGATTCCATGTATCTCAGTGGAAGAGCTAGCCAGGAGATGTGGTTGCTGGAACATTTCCCCCCTGTAGCAGAGTGGGTTCAGTCACCAGGAGAGCCCTTTCAGCTGCATTAGCACTTCCATACATGAGTTTTCCAGCCTCAGTTTTACCCCTACCATTGCCCATAAGTTGCACTGTGCACCCAAAGGTCAAGGCAAACACTTTTTTTTCTTTCCTCAAAGAGTATGTGGTTTTATTTTTCATCATTATATACATAACAGCCTGAGGATGGTCCCCCTGCTATTGCTTCCAGGTGCTGATACAGGGCAGGCCGCTCTATGGGGTGTGCTGAACCCACCTTATCTTTGCCTGCAGGTGAGCGAGATGGAGGTGAATGGTCAGTTTGAGTCCGTCTGCGAGTCGGTGTTCAGCGAACTCGAGTCTCAGGCCGTGGAGGCCCTGGATCTCCCAATGCCCGGCTGCTTCCGCATGCGGAGCCACAGCTACGTGAGAGCCATCGAGAAGGGCTGTTCCCAGGATGACGAGTGCATATCACTGCGCTCCTCATCTCCCCCACGAACGACCACGACCGTGAGGACCATCCAGAGCAGCACCGGTGAGTAACAAGAGGGGGAACGTGGTGGGAGGAGGTTACCCTTTGGTGCAGCTCCGTCACTCAGCTCTTCAGCATCACGCACCAGGCCCATAGGAGAGTCTGTGCTTCTTAAGCGTAGCAAGGTCAAGTCAGTGAAGTGCTGATGAAAGTGAAACCAACAGCAAAAAAAGGCATGTTCAAACCAGGCATGTATCTGTATCGCTGCAGTAGACCCCAGGTTGCCTCCAAACCACTGTCTGCTTAGCAGCAGTGACACCCTACACAGCAGGAGAAGGGGGCTGGATGGACTGGCTGGTGTCAACCAAGGCACAAGCCCAAGCTGAGGCAGCTGTGATGCCACCTGTGCTCAACCAGCTCACTTGAGGCCAGGGACACATGGAAGGGAAGCCAGAGGTTGTATCTGCTCCCGCTGCCCTCCCCAAAAGAGCAGTCAGGGTTTAGCAGGACTGGAAGCATATGGGAACTCTCTGCGGGAGAGGAAGGTGCTCTGCAGAGTTTTTCTTTGGGAACTCTGGCCTTTCAAAAAGTTGAGAGTTACTGGATGTGCTGATGGATGGCCCAGAGATGCCTGCAGCACTCTGGGGTGTATCTTGGAGAGGGGAAGGAAGGAGGGAGGAGGTCTGCAGGTCACAACATGTTCACATCCCACTGTTACTCCTGCTGTGCTTCAAACTATTCAAGTCTTGCAAGAGAGAGAGGTTTGAGTCTAAATATATATGACTTACAAACCATCCTTTGAATCTCATCTTTTAATGTTTGAGGCTGCTTTTTTTAAAAGAAAAAAAAAAATCTTTTGGAAGTGAATTATAGGTACTGTGACCAAAATTAAGGCTTAAAGGGACCAAGTTAGAGACCAAAATGCTAATCTGTCTTTTCACACATTCATGGACGCATATCACATTCATGTGCTGTCTTCTGTGAAGAAAGGAGGGAGGGCCTCTTCTTTTAATTTCTCTACATCCATTCCACTGCTTTACACAAGCTTCATTTACTGCTCACACTACTACAAATATTTCACCATCTCTAATATTTCACCAAATTCTCTAATTTCTCTGCGCTGTTTCTGTTCTGAGTTTTTGACTCCTAAATTTGTGTGTTTATATTTGTATATGTTTGTGTGTTGTCTCTCAGGTGCAGTTGTGTGTACATTGTAAGATACCTGTCTCCCACTGCAGGCTCTTATAAAGCCTCTTGTCAATTGGCTTATTTTATCAAAAGACACTATCAGTCTTTTTATCAGAATTGTTCTGCTTAATTCATGATTTTTTTCTAAAAGCAACAAGTGTGAATATTGATGGTTGGAAATACATTGGCAGTACATCACAAACATCAGAGCATCTTTAACAAATACTGTGGTGAAATTCTCCTTTAAATCATTAACTATTAATAAGTAGTATTTGTGACAAACTTTCTGCTGTAAATGTAGCAGTTGTGTACATACAAGGTTTGTATAGCATCACAAAGACTGGATTTATAGGCTTATTAGTTTATCCTATGGTATTAGCTTGTGTCAAAGACAAATTCTGAAGAATGGTTTTCAGGGAGTTTTCAATCTGCATTTGCCTTCATTACATCACCTTGGACATCTGAGTGTTTTTGAGTTCTTTTAACAATGGCTTTGTTAATACTTTTTCTTCATAAAAAATAATTGTAATGATTAATCAAAGAAAAAAATTATATTTTAATTATGGTTATGTAAGAGGATGTTTCTGTCACTTAGAAGAATTGTGTGTCTGTTTGGAGTTGATGGTGTGTGAGTGGAGAAGAGTGGCTGTATATATCAACCCCAAACACTTGCAAGTCCATAAGAAAAAAAATCTTTCACTTGTTCATTCTCCTTTTATTGTAGTACAGTCACAAGCAGTGTCCTGCTCCCTTCTCTGGGAAGCTGGCTTTATTAAAAAAATTGTATGAACAAAGCCATGTTATTGAAAATGCAGTCAAGTTGGTCTACCTCAGCAGTCAGGTTATTGCTTCCGTAGTCAGCCCTTGAAATTCCTGAGAGGAATGATTTGCAGTTCCATCTTTCTGGATATCTGTAGAAACATTTAAAGGTTGCTCTAGTTATCTATTTTCTCCTCTGTTAAAGATATTTTAATCAATTGCATTTCTCACTTTTTCTCACTATTTTTTTTTTAATTCTAAGGATCCCTCTCTTGTATTGGTAGCATTTGAGACAACTTATCTCTCTTGCTCTCTGATTTACATACTGCTATCTGCTGAGTGGGGCTTAGTGCTGAACTGCTTCCATCCAAAAGCATCTGTATCAAGTACCTTTTTACTCTCTGTGGCTGGCTCGTAGAAGAGAAGCAGTCACACAAAAGGCATTTTTGATGGTGTCTGTTAATATAGGCCTCCATAAAGTGGGGAATGGGACAATAACAAGACAGGTGTGAAGAAATGAAAAAGATACTTCAGACCTATCTACACTTACATGATGTGTATGAATGTCTTTGTGGCAGATATAATGTGCAGTTACGATCTAAGCTCCGTATTTTAACATCCCTCAACTGGAGTGCTCTCATCGTGTTCCCAAAACACCTCTGCCTGTTCAGCCAAGGAAAATTCCTTTCAGCAGGAACATTAGTCATTTCCTCAGTGACCTGACTTCTTATTCGCTAACACACAAAGCTGTGACCATATATTAATGGTGGGAAACGCTTTGATTCTTAGAAGCCCCCGAAGACACGAAAACTTGATTGTGATGGAAAAGAAGAGGTATTCCTATCCTCTGGACTCCTAATTATTTTTCTAGAGCAATGACCCACAGTTATCAAGGCAATCTAGATAAAATTATGAGCAAGTACTGTGGACAGCGCTGCACACCTCTACCTATTAGCCTGTGGTTGAAGCCTCCAGTTTTAATTTCTTTTTGCCACATAGCATCAGATGTTTAGTTTTGAAATTAGGAATGCATCTCTACCAAAGAAGATGTTAGTTCCCAAGGACAAGCTAAGTCAAATTGTAAGTAGAGGAAAAGTATAGTAGTTGTAGCATTGAACTCAGTAGGTTAATAGCCTGGCTCATGCCTTTGTATCTGCCATTGGTTTTAGAGTTACTGTGGTGATGTTGTGAGGTGTAGACACACCTATACAGTGTAAGGGTGTAAATAGCACCTATAGCAATGTAGAGACAAAGGTCTTGTCAAAAAGATTGAATGCTGTGAGTGGAAAATAATGATAATGTCACCAAAGTGAAAGAGTTTCTGCAGACTTTCTGGGAGTAGAGTTCAGTGTTCTGGAGATAATTTTGTACGTCAAATAATGTTTCATCCATTTTTAAAATAAATGTAAAAGGAAGAAGAGGTAGCATGATTTTGTCACCTCATATGGAAATAGAGGCATTTGGGAAATAAATGCCATGTCATGACCTCATCATGCCTGGAAAACTAAGAAATATTGCAAAGCCAAAAGCCTAACAAGCAAACCACCATGCCACTTAGACTCTGCTTTTTATTTCCCAGTTAAAAAATAATGCATAGGTAAGAATAAAAACTGAGTTGGTAGAGGTAAATATTATCACTAGTGGTGGAGATTGTGCTTTTCATGAATAACACTGTATTGAACATCATATAAACAGATCTGACAAGGAACATCGTTTGAGTGTTAAACTGAATTGTGATTTATATAATGGTGGTCTAAGTGTTGCAGGGGCCTTAGTTAGTTTATGTTACAATGTTTCTATTTTTTTAGTGAACAATGAGAATCCATGAAAGGCCTAAGCTTCTGGAGGAAGCTAGCCAAGCACGGAATATTTTTATATTTTAAGGATATGTTTTCTTCACTAAAGTTTCTTATTTTTTCTAAATAAATACTGCTTGAAGGGTTTTTTTTAAAGAAAAAAAAAAAAAAAGATTTCTGCATTTACCTTAGTATTTGCTCATGAAAGGAAGCAGCAGCCTGGGTTTCCACATGGATCAGAGCCACAGAGGCAGCCGCCCCCAGCCCCACAGGGCTGTTTCCACCCACAGCCAAGCACTGAAATGCTGCCACACGCTGTGCACCACTGTCTGCACTAAATTCACCATCCGTGTCATTCAGCGTCTTCCTTCAGAGGAATTTAATGAAGTGTGAGCGCTCACATAGTCTGATCCCAGGTTATTTGCAAACGCAGCGATTGTAACCAAAACTCTTCAGCCAATAGGTTCAAACAGGCACTAAATAAGTTACCTTTTTAAGAAGGTAAAATGTTCAAATCACTTCCTTGTACTAAATGAATACAATAATAAGGAGACAGTGGAATTCTAAAGCAGTGTAAAGACCATCTTCATCCCAAACGGCCTGTGTCTGACTTCTACAATGCAGGTTGTGCTGCAAAACCTGGCTCATGCAGCCTTACACCTTCCTTTGCAAAAACACAAATAAATGTTATTTACAGTTACATAACATTTAGGGTGCAAGCATGGATGCAAAGATATAGTTGAGATTGCATATGTTTAATTTGAAAATCTTGTCTGTGTAACTGAGCTCAAAAAGCAAATTCAGCACTTTGCTTACTGTCAAAATCAGCACAAACTAGTGCTGCACTAGTTTGAAGTATTTCTCGAGCCTAACTCCTGTACAGTCACGTAAACAAAAATATTGAAAGTATCTGCAGCGATGCCATCTGGTGATTCTCAGTAATATTACACTTCTGATCAAAAGCAAATATAAAAAAATCCCAAGCAAGTCATACTGTATAGCCAGCAGGTTAGGAAGGGACTGGGAGTTATCATAGTTATGTTAATTATGGTACTTCTGGAAAAGAAAAGCTGCTTTTCTTCCATTCTTCGGATTATCTGACAAAGAGGAGTCAGGTGTTTTATGGGAAATCTCTAAGAAGCTGCCTAGCCAGTAAGAAAAAAAGGGGAAAAAAAAGGCAAACTACATTAAAAATAGACTTGTGCCTGGCAGAATATTCTAAAATAAAATCAAAGCATGCAAAGGAAGCTGGAACTGACTGTGTGCCAGCTGTTTCCAAGTTCTCTTGGATTCCTCAGGGCTGTCATTTCGAAGAGTATT